AGGTGAAATCCTAAGACAGAAAGTAGATTGGTGACTGCCTCAAAGTAGAGGTTTGAAATGGAAATGGGATAACCATTAATGGATTCAGGGCTTCTTTTGAGGTTGATGAATATTGTAAAAGTGATTGTGGTTAGCTGGACATGGTGGTGGCACATGCCTGTAATCCCAGTGGCTCAGGAGACTGAGGTGGGAGGATCACAAGTTCAAAGCCAGCCTCAGCAAAAAGTGAGGCAATAAGCAACTCAGTGAGACCCTGTCTCTAAAATAAAAATAAAAATAGGGCTGGGGGTATGGATCAGTGGTTGAGTACCCCTGCGTTCAATCTCCAGGATCAAAAAAAAAAAAAGTGATCAAGTGATTGTGATGTTTATTGCACAATCCTGTGAATGGAGTAAAAATCATTGAACTACACACTTTAAGCAGGTGACTTGTACAATGGGTGAATTGTCTCTCTACAAAGCTGTTAGGAAAAAAAATAAAAAAGCATAATGGATGTAGGATTCATGAGGGTGTGAATGGACTGGATTTCTCACCCCTCTCCATACCTACACCCTTTACCACGTGACTTACCATTTCCTCTCATAAAAAGAGTCATCTCCCCATCCATTGAATTTGGACTGATCCTGTGACTTGCTCTGTCCAGGAGGGTGCAGGGAAATGACCTGATGCCTGGAACTTAAGCCCAGGACTTGGTGCCTTGGTGACTAGAGTCTGGGACTCAAGAGCCCATGCATGTTTCCATTTGACCTTTGCTCCTCTTCCATTGCCAGGAGAACCTGCCTGGATTAGTCTGATAGAGAGAGAGATGTGACACAGAGAAGATTTTTGTCATTCATTCTCTCTGAGGTTACCCCAGAGGGTCAACAACGAGTCAATTCTCAGACATGTGAATAAGCCCAGTTATGGCCAGAAAAACTATCCATTCAAACCCAACCCTAATTGTCAACCTTCAAACTCATGAACTAATTAGATGTTTGTTGTTTTAAGTTACCAGAGGGATTATTTGCCCCAATGTGTGTGTGTGTGTGTGTGTGTGTGTGTGTGTGTGTG